TAATATATTAATACAGTTCATCAATAAAGATTACAAGACCAAGAGGTCACTTTTAAAATATATATACAGTATATATATAATATTTTATTACTATATTTCATTTAGGTTTATATTTTATACTTAATTTTGAATAGAAAACTCAAAATTATTAACTATTTATGATTTTAGCTACTTGAAGAACTTCATAATTTGAGACTGCAAGTGAAGTTATGTTTACTAATAGAGGATAGGTCTTTGTTTTAAATTTCCAGATAGTTTTGTTATTTGAAATATGTAAATCAGGACCTTCTCCAAAACTTAGACCATGAGCACCGTCGCAACCAATGGCACAATCACTAAGATTATAATTAACGTGTGATAACATTGCTTTTTGAGGTTATTCGTATCTAATAAAAATATGAAGCTATTTCTTGTTTGTTTTCATATATTATCTCCATTCCAATCAAGTGGATTGTAACCTCCAACAAGATGACTTGAGTTTGCAATTCTTCCAACAACAATTGTTACCCCCTTGTTATTACATCTTCGATGAAATGCTTGTAATGTATGACCATCTAAGTTGCTTCTAAAAAGTAGATTAAATTTGTAATGAAATCCTTTTGAGGTATTATCATCTGTAGTTTTTCCATCTATTTATTTAATCAATAATAGTGCAATCTCTTTGTTGATTAATTCCGAGTTAATTTTAAAATTGTCCCATCTGATCAATAATGTTTTGTATGATGGTTTAGCATCTGAATCTAAATGACAGTGTACTACATCTTTAATTAAATCTTTAGGAAGAATGTCCATATATTCCCATACTTCAGGAACAAACTCCTTAGGATCTATTTGATAAAATCTAATGAGTTTAGTTAATTCATATAATTTTTCTTTTAATATATTAACATCATTATTATTGGTATCATTATTCTTATTGTCAATACACATCATGTTACTTTCATGTTGTGCTTTTTCCTATTGAACTAGTTTTTTCCAGATAATACTTTCTTTCATATCGAGGTTATCACATTCAAGAATTAATTTTAGTGCATTTTCCTCTAAAGAAAGAAATTCATCTGAATCAAATAATAAGGAAGGATTTTTGCAAATAGTCTCCAAATAAGCTTTATTAAGTTCATTGAATTGTTTATAATGGGTAATAAAATGAAGCATCCTAATAGGACTTCGTTGTAAGAACATATAGCAATTTTGGATTATGAGACTCTGAACGATGTCAATAAGACTTTGAATTAAAATTTCATCTGCAGTAATTAGAAGCCCTAAGATTGTTTCATCGTTCTGGCCATTTAAATCTACTATTCCACAGTACAAAAACCTATTTAAATAACATAATATATAATTAGAATCCTAAATTGTCTGTTATAAAATTTTAATATACCACATACTTCATAATCATGTTAAAATTAATGCATTTGTTTTAGGGTTTGATAAAACAAAGCATACATTTTTTTTTACAGCCTATTCATCGGATAATGCTCTATGAAAGTAAGATGATCTAGCACAAAAAATTTGAGAATGGACATAAATTTGCTCAGTGTTTTGTTCGTCTCCAACAGTGATGATTGTATCATAACGTTCCTTGGACTCATATAAGTTTTTAAAATCTTCAACTAAGGTTTCAGGACTTGCAACTAGGTCTTCAGAAAATACTTCGGCCATTATGGTATCGTCTAAGTTCATAATTAGCACAATTACAAAAACAAAACGCTTTCAAATTTGTGCTACCCTATTGCAACATTTTAGCTTTTGCTTTTGGAAATTTGTTAACTCAGGGTGTCACAAAATGGTTGCGTTTGTATATTATATATCAATATCATCATTCCTCATAATCATCTAGTAGCTTCATTTCATTTCGCGTAAGATAGTTGTCTCTTATTTATAAAAAATTTCATTAGAAAAAGATCGTCTGTCCTAACTTTTTTAAAAACATAATGTTGCACTAATAAAATAATCGAAACCAAAAACCATCTATAACTTAAGAAGTAATACCATCATTCGTTGTGCAAAAAAAAATCTAAAAG